TACTAATGGACAAATATGATTTCCAATTGAAGAAAATTCATTATAAAATTTACAATTATAACTAAATTAATTTCGTATGTTGTATTTTGAAATATTTTAACTAAAAATACAACAAAGACTTGGTCACAACAATCAAAAATATTAACTGATTTGAAACTACAGTCTTGTTGCCTAAATATATTACAAAATATGTCCCAAGACCACAATTCACCAAAAATAGTAAGACACCTCACATTTTTTTAATTCTTGTGAATGTTGCATATTCCTTTTTTGGTCATCCCTAGACAATTCATACATACTATTTTGTTACTTGTTCTCCAAACCTTCCATAGAAAAACTCTATAAATAACCCCCTTGTTAATTTCTTCATTCATTCCTCAATAAATTGAATCTTGCAACACAAAAAAAATAAAAAAAGAATCATTCCGATCTTCTTACATTACATTACGACAATAACTCAATGGACAAACAATACTTAAGTGGAGTGGGCGAGGCCACACCTAGGAGAGAGAAGAAAGTTTTACAGACTGATAGACCCCCGGCTCGAAGGCCACTTCTCGATAAAAGGTGCCCAAAAAGCCGCACAGTTGGCTGCTCGCTGCCTTAGCCGGGACCCAAAAGCCCGACCTCTGATGAGTGAAGTTGTCGAAGCGTTAAAGCCTCTGCCAAACCTCAAGGACATGGCCAGCTCATCATATTACTTCCAGACAATGCAGGCTGACCGTTCAAGTCCCAATGCTAGAAACGGTTTAAGAACGCATGTTGGGTCGTTTTCGAGGAACGGGCAGCAACATCCGAGGAGATTACTCCACACTAGAAGTACCTTAAATTTGTGTAAACTGTAGAAATTTAATGTATAAAGAGAAATAGAGAATTGTATTATTGATTGATATTTATGTTATGGTTACAATGATTCCTATATATAGGAGAGGGTGAGTGTGTAGTAGGTAATGAGTAGGTGAAGTGGAGGTGGTAGTGGTGTAGTGGGTTAGGTTTAGTGGAGTAGGTTTAAGTGGGTGAAGTAGGTGGAGAGTATGTGGATTTAGTGGGTTAGGTTTAGTGGAGTAGGTGAGGTGGTAGTGGTGTAGTGGGTTAGGTTTAGTGGAGTAGGTTTAAGTGGGTGAAGTAGGTGGAGAGTATGTGGATTTAGTGGGTTAGGTTTAGTGGAGTAGGTTTAAGTGGGTGAAGTAGGTGGAGAGTATGTGGATTTAGTGGGTTAGGTTTAGTGGAGTAGGTTTAAGTGGGTGAAGTAGGTGGAGAGTATGTGGATTTAGTGGGTTAGGTTTAGTGGAGTAGGTTTAAGTGGGTGAAGTAGGTGGAGAGTATGTGGATTTAGTGGGTTAGGTTTAGTGGAGTAGGTTTAAGTGGGTGAAGTAGGTGGAGAGTAGGTGGTGGGTTAGGTTTAGTGGAGTAGGTTTAAGTGGGTGAAGTAGGTGGAGAGTAGGTGGTGGGTTAGGTTTAGTGGAGTAGGTTTAAGTGGGTGAAGTAGGTGGAGAGTAGGTGGTGGGTTAGGTTTAGTGGAGTAGGTTTAAGTGGGTGAAGTAGGTGGAGAGTAGGTGGTGGGTTAGGTTTAGTGGAGTAGGTGAGGTGGTAGTGGTGTAGTGGGTTAGGTTTAGTGGAGTAGGTTTAAGTAGGTGAAGTAGGTGATAGGTTTTAACAAATAATAAATCATTCAGCTCTAGCACATCAAGTAAATGATTTGCAATTTCAAGTTAATCAGAACTCTCTAATAAATTAAACGTATCTATACCAATGTCCCACAGCTTGTGTACCACCGATGTACCCCTCTCGTACCCACGAGTACCCAACTATCAAAGAATGTATAAAATGTATCCGGTACATATTTCGAGTATCCGGTATGCATGCAATCCTATCGGTATGAGTGTCAGTACCTAATAAGTACCCGATATGAGTACAACAACATTTTCGGAGTATCCATGCTTCATAGTGGATTACATTAAAAGAATAACGAAAGAAATTCTTGGAGAGTCAAAGGGAAAATGCCATATATCTGAGATACTTGGCATTGGAATACTGAAATACAAGACGTAGTTGAAAAAAAAAATGAATGTTTAAGAAGTGGCAATATAATAAAAATGAGAAAAAAAAATTAAGAGATAAAAGTTAGCCAATGACGAGGTTAAAAGAACAATTACCTATGCTAAGCTAAAAGTCTACAATGATCTTTCTAAATTATTTGGTTAAGATTGAAAAAAAATATTTACAAACTTACTAAATTGAGAGATATGAAAACAAGAGACTTTAATCCGATTTAGTGTATAAAAAGTGAATATTTGAGGGTGTTATTAAAGGATGAGGAGATTAAGGAAAGGTTTATTTTGAGAAATTTTTAAATGAAAAATATTTACTTTTTTGATAAAATTTTAAATGAAAATAGTTATAGAACATAAGAGGAGAGGAATATGACAGCTTTGATAAAACTAGAGAACATGAGTTTTATTGTTGACAAAGGGACTTTGAGGTGGAATTTGCACTAAGACGATAAAATCAGGCAAGGCATTAAGATTGGATTGCATCCCTATTGAGGCTTAAAATTTGCACTAAGTGAATGTGGCTAAGATGTGAATGTTGAGATGAATATGTGGTAAGAATAGGAAAGGTAAAATTAAAGACAATTTTATTTGTGAAATGGTAGGAATAGCACCAATTGAAGACAAGTTGAGAGAGAACAAGGTGAGATGGTTATGTACAAGAAGACCTAAGGATGCAACGTTAAGGAAGAGTGACATGATCACCATAAATGGAGATACTAGGAGGGGGGGAAGACCTAAACTGACATGGATTGCTGTAGGAAAACAATGATATAGAATTATTTAATTTAATTGAGCATATGGCCCTTGATAGAGCAGAATGGAGAAAAAGAATTCATGTGGCCAACCCCACTTGATTTGGGGCACAAGGCTTAATTTGGTTTTTGTATAATTTCCTGCTTATTTTAGTTCGGGAAGTCATATAGCCAGTAGTGGAAGCTCCAGGAATTTTTTCCAGGCATTCAAAAACTTCAAATGGATAGCATGCAATTGCAGTGCAGTGTTTTCCTTGCATATATGTTATGATATGAAAATAGTTAATGAATTTTTTTTTTTTTATTAACTTCTTATTATTGTTTCAGAATCATTACTAACCATCGTCTTATTTTTCAATATTTTGATTTTCTATTTGGTGTTGGCAGATTGTCATCTGGTTTATAATTCCAGCAGTGAAAAGCTCTACAGCTGCTCATGCTAACCACACACTTTCTCTGATTATTTTCCTTCAGTATATTCCACGGTTGTTTGTTATTTTTCCTTTGAACCAGCGAATTATTAAAACTACAGGGGTGGTGGCTAAGACTGCTTGGGCGGGGGCAGCATACAATCTCCTTCTCTATCTGCTTGCTAGTCATGTAAGCACATTCACTACTTTTACTTGTTTTTTTATTATCTTCTGACTCATCCATTGAAGGTAATGATGATCAAATTTTTACAATGCTGTGAGTCTGGTCAGATGTTTTTTCCAGTTCATCATTATTATTAGTGTTATTTTGGATTGTCAGTGCAGGTTTTGGGGGCTTCGTGGTATGTGCTGTCCATTGAGAGGCAGGATTCATGCTGGAGACAGGAATGTAGAAAGGAGCAGAATTACACACACTCTCCATCTTGTAGTCTTCTGTTTCTGGATTGTAAAAATTTAGACAAGCCCGAACGCCAGTATTGGTTGAGATCCACTAAAGTACTTACAGAATGTGATATTCGAGATGGTCAAAATTTCAATTTTGGAATGTTTGCAGATGCCTTCACGGAGAATGTTGCTGCTTCAAATTTTCTTGAAAAGTACTTTTACTGCCTTTGGTGGGGTATGAAGAATCTAAGGTATGCTTGGTTTGATCTGAAAATGTCCTTTACGCTTTTTTGTCCGAATTTAATTGTCCTTTATTAGTGCAGATATCGGTAATTTACCTCCCTCTTCCCCTCTCTATTCTCTCCGGTTGCAAAGCTATACAATTGCAGTAATTTTTTCCTGAACTTCCTTTCTAGATTCTCAGTTTGGTAGATGAGATGGTCCTTTTTAATGTAACTAACGTGCACTTTACACGTTTTGTGAAGAATATATAGTCCTCCCTTTTCTTTCTTCCCTATTAATATCCATTGCTTTTCTCATTAGTAAACTCCAGTTACCACCTTTTGTTTCTCTCCAAACTCAGTTATACATCCCATGAACAGTTTTTTGTTGTAGAAAAAAGAAGGGATAGGTTGGGTCAAGCCAAGGCTGATAGAAATGTATTCTTGCTTACATAAATTGTATAAATAAATTATAACTACTGGAAGCAAGATACTACAGATACCAGTAAAATGTTTTGTGATTCTAATATGATTTAATTTAATGTTGTAAATTATTTTGTATTGTATTGCAGGGACAACTATTATTAAATGAGAGTTTCATATGTTTGGAATTATATTTTGGTTGCAAGTTAGCAACCCAAAAATGATTAAAGTTTGTGAATAATATTCCCAGTAAATTTCCTTCATAATATTACATTATTTTTCTTACTGACAATTTTCCCATGTATTTTTGGAGCTTCTGCCATTCGAAGTTCCATGTTGCCAGTTTTTGCCTTCATTTCTGGTAAATCATGTTGGAAACCTTGCAACAGATGTTTATTTGGTTTCTTACTTGCACCCTCATCATGTTGCTAGAATGCATTTTTTACTTAGCAAAATCAATGGGAATGAATTGGTTCTCTTTTTCCTTGATCCCTCACTAACTTGCTTGTGATATGTAATAGTCCATATTGTTGAAATGTCATTTCCAATATTATTGCTAATACAATTTTCACTCCTCAATTCATGATTTACAGTTCATATGGACAGAGTTTGAACACAAGCCTTTATGTTGGTGAAACGCTATTTAGCATTCTTATTTGTGTTGCGGGTTTAGTTTTGTTCGCACAACTTATTGGCAACATGCAGGTACTATCTAGTATGCCTTTCTTGTACCACCATACTTTGATATGATTGGAGTTGATTCTGCCATGAGCCTTACCCAGATGCAAAATGTGAGAAAATTAAATATTATAGGACAGGTGTTCTGAAATTCTCCTTGTACGAAAATAACTAGGATGAAAAAAAAATTCCAATCCAAATAATTAACTTCTCAAACTAGAAGTAAGGTTAAAGAAATTGCATTTTTTGCAAGTTTGCCTTGTGATTTCTTTGTGGAAAGAAAAGTGGGGATAGCTACTTTAAAACAAGTTGTCTTGCTAAGTTTCGGATGTTTCTTTGCTCGTGACATTGTGTGATTGAAGAAGGTGAAAGTATTTGGATTTTGATTTTATTTTTTTATATATATTTATGTTATGTGAAGACCTATCTGGCTTCTACAACAGCAAGACTTGAAGAATGGAGGGTGAAACGAAGAGATACAGAGGAATGGATGAGGCACCGACAATTACCTCCAGATCTTCAAGACCGTGTTCGTCGTTTTGTTCAATATAAATGGCTTGCTACAAGAGGAGTAGATGAAGAAGAAATATTGCAGGCTTTGCCCTTGGACCTCCGACGTCAAATCCAAAGGCATCTCTGTCTTGCCCTTGTTCGCCGTGTAAGGTTTCTTTTGGGTATTCTATTATGTGTGGTTGTCATTTAATATGCAACTTATTTCAATTATGAGAAGTGTCCAAATTTCAAAGCAAAGTAATGGAGTTTTCTTCTTGTCTTCACTCAAGGGTTGGACAACTTGCTGTAGATTGTTTAGAGTACTGAGATCATGGTAGAAGCATACAACATATGTCTATCTCAAAAGGTTGCATCTTGATGCAATTTCAGTAGATAGCTTCAACTACCTGTTTCTGGTATGGTTTGACCAAAATACTTTTTTGGCATTATTTTTTTTTTAGTGAACTTTTTCATTTTTTGTCAATTTTTATAACCCTTTAGGTGCTTCTAGACTAAAAGCCCCTTCAATTTTTTTTTTTAAATAATCAAATTTGAAAAAGTTCACTAAAGACCCCAAAAAAAAAATGAAAAAACACCTAGAAAATCCGCTTAGAGTCCAAGATGCAGTTTGATAACTATTGAACTGATTCCTGGAATAAACAACTGAACTTCTTTTCCTTTTTCTTTTTTTTTTTTGAAAACTTAAAATGAGCACTTCTAGAAGATGCAACATATTGCCCTCTTCCAACTTTGGGCAACAGAGCGCAAAGCTCCCCTTCTGGTTAATTAGCTTAGAATGTGAGATGATTCTAGCTACTGGCTTAATGTGGACAATGCTATACAAACTAACAAATCTTTATCACTTATGTGCATCTATCATATCATTGAAGTGGGTTTTGTTTCAATTTTTAAAGTTTTATCATTATATGTGACACATCAGTTAGTAAGAACATCTATCATATCATTGAAAGTGGGTTCTGTTTCAGTTAAAAAGTTTTATTATTACATATGACAGATCAGTAAGTAAGAACATCTATCATATCATTGAAGTGGATTATGTTTCAGTTTTTAAAGTTCTATTATTATATATGATATATCAGTTAGTAAGAAAAAATTGTAAGATTTGTTAGTTTGTATAGCATTACTCACATAACATTTTTGACATATCCAGTAAGATTAGGCTGCTAAACTTGCCTCAGTTTGTGCCTAACCATAGTTTATATTATTAAACCATGTAATTAAAACATGTTCCTGTTTTTGAATTTTTTTTATTATTTATTTATTTAATTTTTTTTGGGTGAAAAAAATGTGTTCTTGTTTGCTATTTAGAGATTCATGGTCTTTAAACTCATGTTAATTGTGTTCTTCCCAGTTGAATCATTACTTAGATTTTATTTGGCCGGGTTTTGAGTCAAGTTGATTGCCTTAATGCCAGCATATTATGTTAAATGTTTACCAGCATTATATATTTTCACATTCACATTTAATTATCCCTGAAAACCAAATTGGACTATGATAAATCTTTCTAGTGGCTATCAGCAGACATACTTCCTCAAAATTTATTTCAAGCAGTTTAATGTTGTTGAGAGTATTTCCGGTTTGAAGTCTGGTTTACAGAACATATTGCTTCTCCTTTGCAGGTTCCTTTCTTCTCACAAATGGATGATCAACTTCTAGATGCAATATGTGAACGTCTCGTCTCATCCCTAAGCACCAAGGACACATACATTGTTCGGGAAGGAGATCCAGTGAATGAGATGCTTTTCATCATTAGAGGCCAGCTTGAGAGCTCCACAACTAATGGTGGACGGTCTGGATTCTTCAACTCCATTACTCTCAAACCCGGTGACTTCTGTGGTGAGGAATTGTTAACGTGGGCCTTAATGCCCTCCTCAAACCTAAACCTTCCATCCTCAACCCGAACCGTCCGATCCCTTACTGAAGTCGAAGCATTCGCACTTCGAGCAGAAGACCTCAAGTTCGTCGCAAACCAATTTAAACGTCTTCATAGCAAGAAACTACAACATGCTTTCCGATACTATTCCCACCAATGGAGAACTTGGGGGGCTTGCTTCATACAAGCCGCGTGGAGGCGCTTAAAAAGGAAGAAGTTGGCAGATGAATTGTCGAGACAAGAGAACTTATATTATATGCAACTTTCTGATGGAGAGGGCAATAATGGTGACGATTATGAGGATAGTGGTGGTGAAAGCCCGGCAATGGACACCAGCGTACAACAGCTCAGTGCTACATTCTTGGCCTCAAAATTTGCTGCAAATACTAGAAGAGGGGTTGCTCACAAAGTGTCATTGGTTGGCCCTCCTGCAATGCCAAAGCTGTTTAAGCCTGATGAGCCTGATTTCTCTGCTGATTGAGAAAGGCTGTTTTGATATAGATTAGATAATTTTAGGAGAGAGGATACATGATAAACAAACAAAATATTTCATTTCATGTGCATTTAAGTCTGTGATGATTAATTGTAATTCGATTTTTTGATCATTGCTTGCCAGTGGTGGAATCAAGATTTTGACTCAATTGGTGTCAAATTAGGAACTAATAGTCCATGAGTTTTTGGCTCGCGCAAAATTTAGAAGTTCTTAACCATTCTTTATTATGAGGAAAACTCCATTCATACAAAAAATATATATATAAAATACTATCAGAATAATGTAACAATGTTATTTTTTGTAAATAAAATTTATTTTTATGATTGTTTTATTTTGAAGTGAATGGTTCACACTAAACTACATTGTTATGTAAGAATTTTCAGATTATATGTCATTACTCCTTTGAGTTGTAGCCCTTCTTTAGAGAAAATTCAATCATTTCATAGTGAGGTAATTATAGTAATTCCGGAATATAGACACGTAGTATTTCATAATATTATGATTGATAGAGAAAGTGGGTAAGTGTGGTGCATTATGATTGGTGGAGAAAATAAGTAAGTGAGGTATTGTGCTAAGTGATTGAAAAACGTGAAAGACATATTAAATAATGATTAGTTAAGGAATACAGACAAGTGATACCCAGAGAATATTAAATAATTTTCCTTTATGGTGAGAGTGCCTAGTAAGCCTTCTTGGATAGGATGACAACGAGGCGAGTTTCTGGTGCCCCACCCTATCCCGTATTATATCAGCAGCAGGGTAGGGCAAATCGAGATGGGGGATGGCACAGGAGTGTTATTTTTGTAACTTAAAAAATGGAGAAATTAAAAATAATATAATATATTACAAATAATGATTTATAATTAATGTAAATTAAAAATACATAAAATAATAAATGAATAAATAAAAATGAATGTTAAGTGCATGAAAAGGATCAAAGTTCAAAAGGTAAATTAGTTAGACAAATATATTTAAAAAATATAATTAAGCGGGGAGCAAAATGCATCCTCACCTCACTTCCTTATTAATCCAGCGAGTTGGAGTTGGAGCGGGACAGAGATTATTAATAAAATCGGTGGTGTTAAATGCATTAATTAGTGTATACATTAATGTACTAATTAGTATTATAATATTATTATTGATCACATTTATTATACAAATTACAAATACTTAAAATCATACAAATAATATCATATCATGTCTTAATATACTAATACGTATATTAATTGATATATATATATAGCATTACATTACTCTAATAAAACAGCTCACATGGCCTCTAGACATGATTTCTTATGATCCTCCAACTTCCCCGAAATGGAACTTCTATTTCTCGGCCCCATCATTGGTGATCCTACACTTAGACTTCCAACCTTGTTTGGCATACACTATATAATCCATCTTTTTATCTTTTTTTCATCACATCACCTCTCTACTTTTCTGCACATCTTTTCATAAAAAGACAAAAAGTACACTTTTTTAGGACACCCCAAACCAACCCAAGTGTAAGGGTTGGAAAACCATTTATTCAGTGTGCTTGGTTTCAGTTTTTTAAAAGTTAAATTTTTTATTTATTTTTTTGTTTTTTTAATAAATATTTTTATAATTTTAAATAATTTTTTTTATTTTTTTAGATGCACCTTATTTAGATGTATTTAAATAATAAAATATTTGTGAAAAAATATTTTGAAAAATTAATAAATACACAAAAATACGAAAAATGTATTGAATTTTCATATTTTTATTGTATTTTTTATATTTAGTGAATTTTTAAAATATTTTTTTCACAAATATTATACTTTTTAAGTGTATTTATGTTAGGTGTGTCTAGAAATTAAAAAATTACTTAAAATATTAAAAAAATCATTAAAAATAGAAAATATGAAAAATAAAAAAGTAAAATTTTTTAAAAAGTGTTTTCTAAAATCTAAAACCAAACAAGCTGATTGTGTTTTTTAAAATAGAAACTAGAAAATAAAAAAAATAATAAAAAAATCAGAGACTGTTTCGAAAAATAAAACTAGTGAAAGAATTAAATTGTAAATACAAGGAGGAATTGTGTACAATGTGCCTGGGTGCATACGATATGCATCTTAAGTAAAAAGTATAATTTCTCCCACAAAATATAAAGCTTTTGTCATAAAAAAAAATATAATTTTTTTTCTTCATAAAAAAATATAACTTTTTTTTGTCGTCACAAAATGCATAATTTCTCTTATAAAAAATATAATTTTAGTTATACATAACTTTTAAGGTACACCTCATAACGTCAAAATTCATAATTTTTATCACAAAAATAATAACTTGCATCTCACAAAATATATAATTCCTTACTTAAATGATAACCAAACACTACTTTTCATAATTTTATTTAATGAAATAAAAATTAAATAAAATTTTACCCCAAAAAATGTGTGCATATGAATCAATCCGTACCCATCAAGCCCACTTTGGCTTGGTCCCTCCCCCATCCACAAAAATCAGGTGCCCTTATTTGGGATAAAAAACACAAGTCCAATGATGAGCCATATAAACACCACATTGGTTTTACAAAAATCAATTTGAGGCAAAACTTAAGTTTCGTTTAACAATTACATATTTTAATTAAAAAATCAAAAAAATTATTATAAATTATCACATTACTTTATATTTTTTTACACATATTTTCGTAAAAAGTTAAAAAAATATTAAAATAATTAGTTCCTAAACAAGGCCTTAAATACCATTTTTCAACTAATGTTTTAATAGTTGATATTTAGAGTCAATTTCTGATTCAGTCCTTTTTAACTTTTGATCAATTACAGTTCGGTATATATTTACTGTACGGGAAAGAAATAAACCTTCTCGTATAATCCTGTTGATCAAGTCTGCGCTCCTCCGTACGACGTCGCTTTACTCCCTGAAAACACAAACGTGAGCTAGCCGGCGGGTGTATGCCGGATACCTCTCCGATGCCTAAGTCAGCGAAATAGACAAATAGACAAAAGCTCTGTGTATTCGAGAATCAAAGCTATGTTACCTCTCCGTAGGTGATGTTGTGAGTTTTTATAGGTTCCGTGTGGCACAATCCTAGTAAGACTATTACTCCTCCATGTAGAGTCCTCTTAGGAGTCATATTCCTGAAAGATAATGCTTATCCTTCAATACCCCCCTCACTGCTTAAGCCAAGTGAGATGGCTTTACCATGGTTGGATGTTAATATGATCGAGGTAAGCCTGGTTATGCCGAGCAGCGGAGTAGACCGAACTATATCTAGTTTGGTTCTTTCTTTTACTGCCCTTACCTCAGTTCCTCTTGTACAAACCGTGGTACGCTTAGACCGAGCTAGCAAATAGCAAGGTCCTGACCGAGCTAACCACACTATGCTATGACCGGGCTAACTTTGAGTATGGTGACCAGTGCTGACAGCAAAGCTTCCTTAGACTGGACTAACTTCAAGATTCTTTCGGACCGGGATAACAAGAGGGCTCTCTGGGACCGGGATATCAATAGGGCTCACTGGGACCGGGCTAACTACAAGCCCTTTTCATCCAGCCCTTCTTACAGTGGCCCAAAGAATGGCCCATTTACCCAGCTCGGCCCAATTTATGTATAAATTACTCTCTCAATTGCCACTTAATTCCATCTGCACAGCATGATAGGGATTTACCTGTTTTATCAGTTGAGTTAAAAAACTTTAGCCTTTCCAGCTGAGCTAAAATTCTTTCGCCTTTCTAGCCGAGCTAAATTCACACCGGTCTCTACCTGTCCGGTCAAAACGTCTCTTCAATCACAGCAACTGAATCGCTTCTCATTCCAATGACACGTGGTATGCTCCGATTGGCCCAAGGCAGTAGTCGTGTCATCTTCGTACCTCGTGAATTTTGAACAGTCCGGCCTTTTTCCTTCCCTTTTTACAAAATCAAACCTTTTGTTTTGAAACCCTTCATTTGCACTATTCATTCTCTCTCTCTCTCTTGCTTGAGCTTCTGCTTCCCCATTTCTTCACTGCATAAGCCCGTGTTCTTCCTGCCGTTGCTCTCATCTTCCAACTCTTCAACTTGAATTGGTGAATGGCTCGAATCCTCTTCTTTTTTGTTGTTTTCGCACTTTGTTTTGCAACACATAGCATGTTTTATTTGTATGTTTTTCCAAAGCACATTCTACTTTTGCTTCAATATTTCTGAGAAAAACCATGTAGTAGAACCTCTGGTACTTCCATGAGTAACCTGAGAAACACTGATTTTGATCCAAAATCATATTTCAACCGAACTAGGAAGTTGTTCGTATTTAGGCACAAACCTAGCTTTACTGTATAATCAGACTAAAACTTTACTTTATTGTTTGTAATCTCAGCAAGTCTTAGTGCTGCCTGCTTAACTTGGCCGAGCTAGTGAACCCCACTAGGCTTACGCGATACTGTGCTAAAAAACCTCAAATGACCGACCGAGCTAATACTTGGGGCTAAGCCAGCTCCCTTAGCTCGAACCGAACTAAAAAATGCTGCCCCGAAGGCTCAACCGAGCTAATGTCTCTAGCTTAAACCGAGCTAGGACTCGGTAGCATCTCACATAGCCGAGCTAGGATTTCATTTATCTTGCCTTTGTTTCTTTTAGCACGGTCCAACGATCTGTGCTTAACACTTTTGTTGTTCACTTTGCAGACTTAGGTTACCCAGGCACTCCTTTGAGTGCACAACCAAGCTACTCAGCACCATTCTTCGACCGAGCTTACACCCAGTTTAAAAAAAATGCTGCCCCGAAGGCTCAACCGGGCTAATGTCTCTAGCTTAAACCGAGCTAGGACTCGGTAGCATCTCACATAGCCGAGCTAGGATTTCATTTATCTTGCATTTGTTTCTTTTAGCACGGTCCAACGATCTGTGCTTAACACTTTTGTTGTTCACTTTGCAGACTTAGGTTACCCAGGCACTCCTTTGAGTGCACAACCAAGCTACTCAGCACCATTCTTCGACCGAGCTTACACCTAGTTTAATCTGTACATAACTTAAACCACAAATGGGGAAGTATAGATTTTTAGTAAACTCACCAGGGGCCATAGCCGAATTTCGTAAGGACTACCAAATTCCAGACGATGTCCACCTTTCCCTGGCCGAACCAGAATCCGTTCCTTGGGGAAAGCAAGGCTTTGTCCCTTTTAATGTTATTTCAATCGTAGAGTGCGGTCTATG